AATATAGTCCTCTCTCCAGCTTTTGTTCTCCCACACTGGGTACCGGTCAAAGCATGGGTCTTGCAAAATAAGATGGACGGCCTGGTCTTGGCGTGAGGAACGGCCCTGGCATTCAGCCTGGACGCAAAGGGGCATAGCTCATGCCCGTCCTAGGGGAGCACTCTCCTCGGCTCCAGGGCTGAGGCGGTGAGGCAGGGACGTACTCTGGTGCCACCTGACCTGGCACAACTGCTGATACACTGCCCCTGCCCAGCAAAGGACGTCTGCGGAGCCTCCTAGTTCCTAAGACAATGCATGGGCCCAACAAAGTTAGTCCCAGCCCACCCACTTGTGACATGTACACACCCTGTACGTGAGGAGGGCCCCAGGATTTCTCTGCATATCTCATCAAATAGCCACCCAAGGCCTTTTTGGACAAGTCTGTTAGCAATTATTTTTAAATCCTTTGATGAGGGAGGGAAGGAAGGAGGAAGGGAGGGAGGGAGAGAAGGAAGAACTTCCAAAAGGGCTCTTCAAACTCAAATGACCCAAAAATCAAAGGGAAGATGGTGTTTTGCAATCTAGGCCTCGTGTCATGTGGGGACAGGGTATTTGGCAACCTGACCTGCTCCACGAAGCGCAAGGAGCACCCCTGCAGGCATTGGGACATCCCCTCCAGCAGTCCCAAGAGAAAGCACCTACAAGCTTTCAGGGGTGAAACCACTGGACCAAGAGGCATTAAAATTAATTATAAGCATTAGAATACTTTTCCCGAAAAAAATAAAGTATGTTTTTAAAGCTCTTCTTGAAAAGCCCCAATATATGAAAAATGGGTGAAATGGGCTTCCAAATTAAAAACTCAACCTGCATCTCCTCTTGCTAATAAAAAGTCGCTACAAAAAATGGAAAAAGCTGAGACTGGTTTGGTTCAATGGATAGAGCGTCGGCTTGGGAACTGAAGGGTCCCGAGTTCGATTCCGGTCAAGGGCATGTACCTTAGTTGCGGGCATATCCCCAGTAGGGGGTGTGCAAGAGGCAGCTGATCGATGACTCTCTCATCGACGTTTCTAACTCTATCTCTCTCCCTTCCTTTCTGTACAAAATCAATAAAAATATATTTTTTTAAAAAAAATGGAGCCGAGACCGGTTTGGCTCAATGGATAGAGTGTTGGCTTGGGGACTGAAGAGTCCCAGGTTCGATTCTGGTCAAGGGCATGTACCTTGGTTTCGGGCATATCCCAGGTGGGGGTTGTGCAAGAGGCAGCTGATTGATGATTCTCTCTCATCGATGTTTCTAACTCTCTATCTCTCTCCCTTCCTCTCTGTACAAGATCAATAAAATTTTTTTTTTTTTAAATGGAAAAATACGGCGGGGGGGGTGGGGGGGGGTGTTATAAGGCCAGAATGACTTTCTTTCTACAACACTAGAATACAAAAGAGAAATTAGAGTGAAACCCTAGCAGGTTTGGCTCAGTGGACAGAGTGTCAGCCACGGACTGAAGGGTCATGGGTTCGATCCCAGACCCTGGTTGGGCACATGCAGGAAGCCACCAATCGATGTGTCTGTCTCACATCGATGTTTCTCTCTGTGTGTCTCTCCCCTCCCTTCCACTCTCTCTAAAAATCAATGGAAAAATATTCTCGGGAGAGGATTGACAACAACAAAAGAAGAAATTAGAGTGAAGTGGGGGGAAAGGAAGGAGGTAGAGAACCTTTATACCAACAACACCTGAGAGAACCAGAGGCAGAAGGAGTGAGCGAAGCAGGCAGGGCATGACACGAAGGGAGGGTGGGGAGTGCAGAAAACCAGAGCACACAGGCCCTGCCTTAAGGGGCAGGATCGCACAGCCGGTGTGGCTCTGAGGTTGGATGTCAACCTATGTACCAGGAGATCACAGTTTGATTCCTGGTCAGGGCACATGACCACGTCTCGTTCCCCACTAGAGGGCATGCTGGAAGCAGCTGATCAATGATCTTTTCTCATCATTGATGTTTCTATCTCTCCCTCTACCTTCTTCTCTAAAAATCAATGAAAACATTAAAATCTTTTTTAAATAATAAATAAAGGGGCAGGGTGTGCTCAGCTCCAATTATTGTTAGAATTCTCCAAGTTTTATAAGAACTCAGAAATATAAGTTGTTATAACCAAAATCTCATAATCTTCAAATGTTGGTGACTAACAGGAATTATATTATGTTGGTCAGAACAGCATTTGTGATCTACGATTTGGTTTTAATTCCATAATCTTAAAAGAAAGAAAGAGGCCAGGAAAGGGAATGGGAAAGCAAAGTGTCCAGAAAAAAAAATTTTTTTTTAAAGATTTAAGTTCCTCTTACGAAAGCAGATTCTGCATGAGAGAAGTTGCCCTTACCATGCAAACTTTATGTGCTACCCTGAATTACAGAGTCAAGGTCAGCCGTCTCTTCTCTTGACAGCCAGGCAATTCTCTTTTGCCAACTCCTGGCTGTTCAGCCCCAGGGAGTTTTAGAACTGGAAAACAAACCAACAAGCAACCTTATAATGTCCCTAGTCCAAACCCTGATTTCACAATGCAACTGAGGCTCAGAGACAGGCAGCGACCGCCAAGGTCACACAGCCAGCCCTCCAGGTGCAGGGGGCTAGAAAGAGCCCAGCGTCCAGGTCTGAGACACTTCCCCTGCAGAGTCTCAGGCCTGCAAGCTCTTCGCACCAGGACTGAGGATGACGGATTACTCAGGAGCGTGCTCGCGCCCCGTGGGTAGTCACCCATGCTTTGCTATTTTCCACAGCCTGAGCTCCCACCCTGGGTCAAACTCTGGGGAGACGAGACAGCAACTGTCAAGATACTTTTCTGAGGCCGATGGTCCAGAGGGGGGCACAGACTGGCAAATGTATTAATGTGGTTAGGAGGTTTAAGTGTTAGAGAGATGGTATTAACATGGGGATGGAGAAGGGAGTGAATATGCATGAGCTGTCCAAGTTGGCCAGCTTCCAGAAAGAGATGAGAGCCAATGAAGAGAGAGAGAGAGAGAGAGAGAGAGAGAGAGAGAGAGAGAGAGAGAGAGAGGACATGGACACACAGGGAGGAGGCGCAAGGAAGGGACAATATCTGCTTCGTGATTTCTGGGCAGCTGGTGAGAAAGTGCGGCCCAGGAACTTAATGGCCGGCTAAGTTAAAGTTTGGGGATTATCTGTGGCCTCCATACTTCTCTCTTAGTCTTTAATCTCAACAGCCATGGTAGCTCCTGGGTGACAGGAGACGTAAGCTAGAAGGCAGCTTCTTACTCCCGCTGAGGCCTGGAGGAGGCACCCTGACCTCTCTAAGCCTCTGTGCTTTCAGCTGTGAAAAGGAGATGGCAAAGCCCTTACCCAAAGGGCTAGCATAAGCATTAACCTAGACACCTGGAAACGGGGCTGGAGGGGGAGGGAAATCTGAAACTACAATGTCCTATGACAGCACAGCGTAAGCACTGCTTTTGGTTTTGTTATTACCAACACTAACATCTATGTCTTTCACACTGCGATCCCCCCAGACGTTTACTTCAGACCCACCAGTTTCGTCTCCTAATACAATTTAGCCCTGTACCGTCACACACGGTAGCTGCAAACCAGAGCGCCACTTAAATTTAAACTAGAAATTCAGTTCCTGCCCTAAACGGTTTGGCTCAGTGGATAGAGCGTCGGCCTGCGGCCTCAAGGGTCCCAGGTTCGATTCCGGTCAAGGGTATGTACCAGTAGGGGGTGTGCAGGAGGCAGCTGGTCGATGTTTCTCCCTCATCAATGTTTCTATCTCTCTAACCCTTCCCCTGCCTCTCTGTAAAAATTCAATAAAATATATTTTAAAAAGAATTTAAAAAGAAATGCGGTTCCTTGGTTACATCTGCCATTGGCCCCTGCTCGATGGCCGCCGTGGCCGGTGACCATCACACTGCCCAGCACAGGCCTCGGGCATCTCCACAGCTGCTGCGGCTGTAGTTGTGTGCTTATGCTCTTTAGCTTAGAGGCTGGCTTCATTGTTGTTATTGTTATTGTTATTATTTATGTCGCTTGGCTCAATTCATCTTAACCACCTCAGGAAATCAATAGCAGCAGTACCATTATCCCCATTTCAGGAGACGGGAAAACGAGGCACACAGCCACAGAGCAAAAAGCCGAGCTGGCATTTCACTATATAATTTGAGAATGAAAATAGATTCGTGTGCAGAAACATTGAGCCGCTGCTAGGTCTCTTCCCGGGAAAGCAATAATCTCGTTTCCTCCAACCCCATGTCCCCAGAGCCCACTCCGGCCTCCGTAACGCAGGAAATGCATGAGTCCATCCGAGGGCTCCTTACGTAAGTGGTACCAGGACCATGGTGTCAGGAGATTTGGCCTCATGGTCCACTAAAGCATCTCTATCTCTTTTTCTTCTTAATCGGAACTATATCTAGCCTGCATCAGGTCAAGTTAAAGCAGTTTTCCTTCGTATGTTCCAAGATGGCAAACATGTTCCTAGTTAGGAGGCTGGCCCTGGCTGCCCAGGGAGGGTGGGGCCTGCAGTCCAGGTCTCTGCACTGTGAGAGGGAAGGGTGACTCATCACCAGGCTACCCTGGGCAGTGGGTGGGGAGAGCAGCTGTCCCTCACCACAGACCCAAGCCCATTATTTTACAGATGAGAAAACTGAGACCAGAAGGGAGCGTGGCTCAGCCACGCAAACACCTCCGGGCAGAGGCGAGAGCCATCCTGCTGGCGTGGCCCAGGAGGAAAATACCATCCGGCCACATGGGGGAACCTTCCTGAAGGATGAAACCTAAACCCCAAAAAAACGCCCCAAGCCCTAAAGCACAGGATCTGTCTCATCTGGATACCTGCCCTGTCCCCAGAACAGATCTGAAAACCCACCCACCACACATTTCCACACAGGCCCCGCCTGAGCTGCCCTGCTCTGCCCTATGCCCATGACAGCCGGGCTGGCAGGTGGCTAAGTGCCAAGAACACCGGCTCTTAAAGGCCCCGAGAGCCGCCTCCCCACCGTGCGGACGCCGTTCCAGCGGCCCTTTACCTGCTCCTTGTTGTTGCTGTTCAGTAAGCCGGGTTTCTTTTTCTTTTTAATGGGGCTGGTGGACGTGTCCTGTGGCGAGTGGCCATTGGAAGAATGCGGAGGGCTGGGGAACTTTCTTTTCGGGGCTGTTCTGTCGGTGGAGCCAGGATCTGAAAGAGACACACAGGGCCACACATTTTAAAGCGGTCGGGGGGGAGGGGGAGGACAACGGGGGTAAAGGGGGGGCCTGGCCTCCTCGGGGAGGGGATGGAGAGGACACAACCCATTTCGTCTCAGAGTTCCTCCTCCTCAGAATACCCCCTTTCTGTTACCTATCTCAGAGATCGCATCGTCTTTCTGTGGCCTGCATAACGTTTTTGTAACAAATTTAACTCACTACCAAAATGTAAAAATTGGGAGGCTTTACAAAATAACCTAGACTGCCGAAACCGGTTTGGCTCAGTGGTAGAGCATCGGTCTGCGGACTGAAAGGTCCCAGGTTCGATTCCGGTCAAGAGCATGTACATTGGTTGCGGGCACATCCCCGGTAGGGGGTGTGCAAGAGGCAGCTGGTCGATGTTTCTCTCTCATGGACGTTTCTAGCTCTCTATCTCTCTCCCTTCCTCTCTGTAAAAAAAAATCAATAAAATATATTTAAAAAAATAACAAAATAACCTAGATTTTTGGCTTCTATGAAAAAGAAACAGATCGGGGCCTTCCTTCCATGGCCTTAGGCAGCAGATTAGAGATCTGAATACCAGCCAGCCATTGTTACATGAAGGATGCCCTCCATGCGGCCATGATCCCCACCCTCCCTACTGGATCTCTGATGATGGGGCTATGACCCAACCACCACGAGTCGTCACCCAGACACGTCCTTTACCTCAAATAAATATTTCTCCTCCACATCCATTCCTGATGGCAAAACCAAGACCAGGAAGGCCACACATTTAAGAAAGCAAAAGCTGCCGAAACCGATTTGGTTCAACAGATAGAGCGTCGGCTTGGGGACTGAAGGGTCCCGGGTTCGATTCCAGTCAAGGGCATGTACCTTGCTTGCGGGCATATCCCCAGTAGGGAGTGTGCAAGAGGCAACTGATCGATGACTCTGTCTCATCGATGTTCCTAACTCTCTCTCTTCCTTCCTCTCTGTACAAAATCAATAAAATGTATTTTTTTTTTTTTAAAGAAAGCAAAAGCTAACATACTTCTTTATGGAAGACAACATTTATTCATGTTTATCAGGAAAACCACATGCAACTATGCAAAACATACGTAGGACCCACCCACCAGAAAGTCCTCGTGGCTCAGCCACCGCTGGGGATTATGTCGGCAACGCTCCTCCAGAGAGACCAGCACCAGTTACCTTCTGGAATGCTAACCTCGCCTTTTGTCAATCCACCCTTTTCTACTTTCATTCTCCCGGAATCCCGTTTAAACCGATATACTTCCACCACCATCCAATCTTCACCTGCAAGACTGCGAACCCCTTCCATGCCCGGTAGCTGTCCTGTTAGCTTAGGGGTGACAGGAGGGCCGGCCTGGCGCACCTCACCTGCTGAGAAATGAAAGCAACAGGCAGCAGAAGAGAAAAGAGCTCTGCGCAGAGTACAGGGGATGGGGGGGAATGGGACGGGGGATCCAGAAAGATGGTTATCCCCAAAGACAGCCCGAGGACGTTCCTCCTCCAGGTGTCACTACCGGGCGCATCCCAGCACGCAGGCGGCACCGTGTCCCCATCCTCTGTGTCCCGATAGGAGCCGCCGGGGGCAGGTTAACAGGGTCCAATAGGGCCACAGGCAGGGCCTCCCCATGGTTTCCTTTGGTCTGAAAGGGGGAGCCGCTTGTGGTGGGCTCGCAAAGCAGGACAATGACCTGCTGAGACCAACCCCAGGCCCTGTCGTGGGACTCTCCAGTCTCACCAGACAGGCTTCTGGAAAATCCCGAGCCAAGGTCCAGGGTCTCTCGCTGAGACACAGCCCTGAGAGGAAATTAAACGCTAACCTTGAGGGAGAGCAGAGCCCAGAGTTCAGGGGTTCATCCCACAGACATCAGCATGAAGGCCTGGAGGGTCTCACGGGTGGGCCCAGCAGCTCACAAGAGCTAGTTAGTGAGAAAACGCACTCCAGAGGTGCAGCCTGGGCCTGGCACATTCCCCAGAGAAGCCTCCCCTTGCCAACCCTGCTCCGCCATCAAAGCTCTTCCTTTTTTTTTTTTTTTTTTTTTTTTTTTAATATAATTTATTGATTTTTACAGAGAGGAAGGGAGAGTTAGAAACATCGATCAGCTGTCTCCTGCACACTCCCTACTGGGGATGTGCCTGCTATCAAGGTACATGCCCTTGACTGGAATCAAACATGGGACCCTGGAGTCTGCAGGCTGATGCTCTACCCACTGAGCCAAACCGGTTAAGGCAAAGCTCTCCCTTCTCACACAAAGTCTTTGACCCAACAGTCCCCTCCTGGAAACCCAGTCTACACAGTCACGGAGGAACAAAGCCCACGCAAGGGGGCTCCACATGGCGCCGTGCACTGCATCTAAGTCTGGAACCGACTTCCAGGCCCACAGACAGAGGGCTGGCCTGCTAGCCCTCTCCAGCCACGCAGCAGGCTGTTCTACAGCACCGAGAGGCGTAAGGCACCTCTGCGTGGACTGGTGCTTAATGATCTCCAGCTTCTGCACCCGGTTTTAAAAGCAATGTGGCCGAAACCGGTTTGGCTCAGTGGATAGAGAGCGTCAGCCTGCGGACTAAAGGGTCCCAGGTTCGGTTCCGGTCAAGGGCATGTACACTGGTTGTGGGCACATCCCCAGTAAGGGGTATGCAGGAGGCAGCTGGTCGATGTTTCTCTCTCATCGATGTTTCTAACTTCCTCTCTGTAAAAAATTAATTTAAAAAATTAAAAAAAAAAGCAATACGTTAGCACCATTAACAGACCAACACACATGGCCCCCACCCTCCAAAGTAACACATGTAGTATCTCCCGGTGTGCCTAAGCCTAGGATATTCCTGGATGAACACGAAAGTACAAGAGTTCTAAATGGGACTGGTGGTGAGAAGAACCTGCTTGGGTGTGGAAAAGGGACTGTTGTTCATTGTGTAACCCTTGTGTATGGTATTTACCATGTGCCTGGACAACTCTGTCAAAATAAAGTAATAAAATATTTAGGAGGTTCAATTTCATATTAAGAAAAAGAAAAAAAAAAACCCTAGCTGGTTTGGCTCAGTGGATAGGGCGTCAGCCTGCAGACTGAGGGTCCCAGTTCGATTCCGGTCAAGGGCACATGCCCAGGTTGCGGGCTAGACCCCCAGCAGGGGATGTGCATGAGGCAGCTGATTAATGATTCATTCCCATCACTGATGTTTCTATCTCTCTCTCTCTCTCTCCTCCCTTCCTCTCTGAAATCAATAGAGATATATATATAAAAAAAATAAATAAATAAATAAATAAAAAGGCAGCAGGTGCAAACCAAAGCCAGTAATGAGCGGATGAGACAGGTCTGACTCAGAATAAAAAACACCACCATTCGGACAAAGCTGGGGCTGATCAAAGGAAGGTAGGTGTTTGCAATTTCTCCTACGCAGACTTGATAAGCCCAGTATCTTTGCTCAGGTGTCAGAGTGTGTGTTTTTAAGAAAGGTGTTTTGATGAACTCCCAGGAGATGTGTTCCAGAAGAAATGGCATGCTGGCCACGCAAAAAGTGAAAGCAAGTGGACCAAGGTTTTGATTTTGTATGTGTTGCTTCAGTTTTAGTAAATTTTAAAGGAAGATAGTACATGAGGAAAGACACACCAACGGGAAAAACAGGGCATGTTGGGGAGAGATGAAGGGGTGTCTTTTGATGTTTCCCAGTGGAGCACTCACTACTGAATTTTGGAAGGGACAGCACTTTCTCATCCCAAGAACCACCTCGGCACCCTCCCACTCAAAGACATCAGGGCTCCCTAACGCTGACGAGAAGTGCCCCCACACAGTCCCACACACTCCCAGGAGCCCCTGTGAGCTGGAGCATGGGGCTGCCCGGCCCACACGCAGCCAGAAGGAGCATGGACTCCCTCCCTCCAGAGCTCAAGAGCCGCCTCCGTGGGCAGTCAGTTCCCCACCTGAGGCTGAGAGCCCAGCGCGATGGCTCCCAGGACAAAGTCCCGGGCTAGCAGCGGTGGCTTTCACTTGGGCATGTACTACCCTGTTTCCCCAAAAATAAGACAGTGTCCTATATTAATTTTTTTCTCCCAACATTGCGCTAGGTCTTATTTTCAGGGGATGTCTTATTTTCGGGGAAACAAGGTAGAAATGCACATCCTCAGACCCCGTGCCAGAGCTACAGAGTCAGAAACTCCGGGAGAGGGCCCAGTCGTCTGCGGCCTCACAAGCCCGCTGGAGGATTCGGGTGCCTGCTGGTGTGAGATCCTCTTGAGTGTGTGTTTTGGGGGACGGACTCTGAGCTCTCAAGCCTAGGAAAGTCTGACAGGTGCCTCTCCTTCCCACCCACGGCTAGCTCCCGGTGGGCGGGTTCAGAAATAAGGAAGCAGAAGTCAAGGCCTGGGAGGAAATAAAGGCAGCTCAACAGGAGATAACCCCAGGCAAGGCTCTGCTTCTCAGGGCCCCAGGCCACACTTGAGAAATGGGAGGAGAGGAGAGAAAGTAGTCAGACCAGAACTTCTTACTGGGAGCCCATGCCCGTGCTCCAGGAACACCCGGGATCCGTGGGTCTCAGATTGTATACGTGGTTGCAATTTCCTGGGAAGAAGGGCCATATGCCTGCTTCACCTTCTCAAAGGTGTCATGAGCAGTAAAGGTTAAAAAATACAATTGACTAGGCCCTGGCCAGTGGTTCTCAGTGGTTAGATCATCAGCCAGAAGAGTCCTGGGTTCAACTCTTTGTCAAGGCCCTTGTGGGAAGCTACCAGTAAATATGGCTATCGCACAATGATGTTTCTTTCTTTTTCTCTCTCTCCTTCCCTCCCCTTTCCACTTTCTCTGAAAAAGCAATGGAAAGGGTATCCCCAGGTGAAGATTAACTAAACAAAATACAGGGTAAGCCCCTGGCCGGGTAGCTCAGTTGGATAGAGCATCCTCCCAATACACCCAGGCTGCAGGTAGAAGAATCAACCAATGAATACATAAATAGGTGGAACAACAAATCGATGTGTCTCTGACTCCCTGCCTCCTCCTCTATCTAAATAAGAGTAAGAATTTTATTTGACCTTCCAAATTCTTTTCCCATAATTCCATGGGAAAGGGGGGGACCATCTCTAGAGAGGAATACACTCATCAGCCATTTACAGCTAAGCAGCCCATCAGGGAAACAGAAGGGGAAACCAGGGGCCTGTTTGGCAAGAGGAGGGGTCTAACCCAAGACTGCCCACACCTTGAAGGATCCCAGCCTCCTAGTCTCAGCCAAACCACCAAGACCTCACTTCCAGAGTTGATGAGACTTCGGCGGCTGCCTCCAAAGGGTAGAAAATTTAATAGGTTCCAAACAACAGGCACATCTATCAATGGCAACAGCTTTCCATGAAGGCTCTTAGGGAGAAAAATTGGGCCATGGTGGCCTTCAGAGGTGTGAGACAGCAGGGCGGCACTCTGACATTTAAAAAAAAAAAAAAAAAAACCTGCCCGTTCCAGGGGTGGGCAGGCTCTGGTGGTGATAAGAGGGTGGGTGCTGCAGACCTTGCTGTAGTCATGGCAACAAAGCCGTCTTTAAGGGCCTTTTCCAGAAAGCTGAGTCAGGTATTCCCCCTGCCCCTTTAATGATTTAATTCTGATGGGGATGTATTGCTAACCGCATCTCATCTCTCAACTTGGAACGATGACAACAAACAGCCTCTATAGACTGAGCCACCAGGGAAGCGGCTCACCCTTGATCGGAAAGGCCTTTCGGGGAGCTGGCAGGACCTTGTGATCCCACAGGGCTGGCCCCCCAGCAGCCCTCGGCTGCCCCCTCAACCCGCCTCCCCCACAGGAGCCTGGTTCTGAAGGAGTTAACGTGGGCGAGCGAGGAAGGCAAGGACAGAGCAGTGACTCAGGGAAACCGCGCTTGGCACGGAGCAGGAAGCAGGAAGCGGCAGAATCCCCCCTCCCGGTGACATTTCACTGAAATCTTAATAATATGGGGAGGTCTATGGGTATTAGGAACCGAGCATGCAATTAGATGGCTCCCGCACGGGTGCCTTGTGCAGCGCCCCGAATAATCCCGCTCAGCACTTCCTAGCTGTCCCTGACTTCGGGGCGCCTTACCTCAGGATAACCAGGCCTCTTAGCTTCCCTGAGCCACACCGTATTAGCAGCTAAGACTGTCTTTTTATTACACACAGAGCACCAGGCAGTGTTCAAAATGCCCTCCGTGTCCTTCCCTCGAAGCCATCGCCCCCACGATCACACACACGAGTGGCGGGGCTGGGACTTGGACCCGGGCAGCATGGCCCTCGAGGCCCACGCTGGGCCTCACGCCAGAGAGGGGCCTGTCTCAGCTCTGAAGCAAGACGGCTTCCTAATTCAGGGTCTATGTTTAAGAGCACGCTGTCAATTTGCCTCTTTCTTTCTCCGCTGCAGATG